TCTTCCAGTCGGTCGAATAGGAGTTATTAAAATTCTAAATATCCAATTTTGACAAAATCTGTTTTCGTTTACTTCAATTTTAAAATAGAATTATATTTATATAGATAAAGAATGGAAGGTGAAAAAAATAATAAATTGTTATATTTCTTATATATACAGTATATAATTATAATAATAATAATACATATGACTTCACTTTCGAGCTAGGTGATTTGTCGATTACGTCACATCCACAAATTTTACTCACTTAATACGATCAAATTACAATTTAAAATTTAATCCTGTTTATTAAGCCGAATTTTTGCAAAAATAAATTTATTAACGTAGTAAATTTTTATTTTTTTCCGTCACGTGATCGGCTTTAAATTTAAAATTTGATCGGTACTATTCCCACGAGATGTGATGATGACGTCAGGAAAGCCTATTTTTGCCAAACGACGAATTGGTTTTTTTATTTTTTTCTTTTTATTTGTCGGATATGCCATTTTTTTTGACATAAAATTTATCTAATAGATAATTTATATAGTTTAAAAATACATTAACGTATATTAATTTCCTGTATAATAGTAATTCGTTTGTTTTTGTAATCGTTAATGACGTCAACGTGATCGTTTAAATTCAAAATTATCTCGTAATTTCGCGAGATCACGTCGTAAAATATATATATATATAAATCGAATGGTAACATAAAATCAATTTTTTAATTTTCTCGTAGTTAATCTAAAAAAAAGTACAACACGGTCATTTAAATATATTTTACATTATTATTATTTCCTAATAGCCAAATACTATTTGTCGTTCTCGTCTTCATTTCTCTTCGTATTTTAAAAATGGATTTTAAAAAATAAATTATTTTAACGTAAATTAAAGTTTAAAATAAATAAATTTTAATTTTAAATTTGAAAAGTTTCGAATTTAAAATCTCGCAGTTTCTCTCTTTAGGTCGAGATAGACTGCGAGATTCCATCTGTGTTATATTTTTAATTAATTTTTTTTTCATTTTAAAAAATAAATAAATAATAAACTATTAACTTAAAATTTAAAATGAAATCATTTATATTATTAAAAATATTAAATCTAACGACGATAATATATACATATATAATTTTATTTTCGTAATCAGACGACTGACCGATTAATGACGTCACATGACGGTTAGACTAATAAAAAGAGCTTTAACAAACATCTAACTTAATATGGGTGAAATGTTTAACAACATTTTTAAACATTTCATTGTCATATTTTGGCATTGGAATGATGTTTGACAAATTTCGGGGTCTTCCATGACGTCAGAGACAAGCATCTAAAAATAAACCCGGCATTACTAAAAATAAAACCAATTCGATTGGTTAATGTCTCGCAGGTGATAAATTCAGATCTTTTTAATTAACAATACTTTCTTTCTTAGTAAATCTGGCAAGATGGAACTACGAAAATATCAAAGGTCTAGAGTTTTGCTTCTTTCATTTATTTATAGAGAATAAACGGACTCTTATACCCAAAGGTCTGGCATAAACTGTGCCAAGAGAAACCAGCTTTTAAACTGGCGATGGCCGAATCAACCTCATCAATTAATCCTCATTAATTAAAGCACGGACTTAACAAGTGCCGATTAGGTGTTTCGGGATACTGTATTCAAATCCGGTTTAAAATATAGGCGAAGAACGCTTACGAGCTGCGATTCGGATATGTTTCTAGTCGAATTTGATGATATTTAATAAAATATACAACCCGATCACTTTAATATTGATCGAAATTGCTTGATAGGTTTCGAGGCATCCAAAATGGCCCCTCGCTAATCTCGAATGATACCAAAAAATGCAAGCGTTTGAGGGTGTAAGTCATGATTTAACTCGGTTTCGTGGGTGGACCGCGAAAAAGGATTAAATCACTGCAAGAATGGTTGAACAAAAACGCTGGAAAACATGTTTCGGGGTTAAGATTTTTGAATATGGAGCCGGATATTCTATTCCGGTCATTTCCAGAGAGGGAGTTTCCGCTTTCCAGTTTCACCACCTGCACCTCCTCCTCCTCCCTTCTTCTTCCTCGGACAGCGTAGCTCGATCGTAAATATTCATTACGAAGTTGGGTGTTTCCCGCCCGCACCTGCTCCGGCGGTCACGTGACGCTAGGTCATATTTCCCACACGCCATCTCGTGACGAGGTGCCATACTAGAATTAAAACCGGAGGATTTTTCTCCTTCTATGATAAATAAACATTTCCCGACTGCGCAGGAGAGATGATGATGAGTTGAAGGACAGTAACTTTATCCATTGACCCCATTCACATTCCTGCTCGGCTGATTCTAAAATTAACTTTCGCTTCTCTCTGCTGGTTTCCATAATTTTGTATCATTTATTGTCGTCCACGTGCAGCTGGAATTCTCGGATATGCAAATTTGCACCGTACGACGATTAGAATCAGTGGGTGCTCCCATTATTTCTAGTTAAATTTTTACGTGATTGATCCGAAACTACGATGATTAATCGGATGTATCCCGCGGTTCTTCTATAATTAAGAAACTGTGCATATGTTTTTAATTACCGCTTAATTGTCCTTCTTTCCACATTCGAATCGGCTAGACTCACGGAAGTCGTGAATAATGTGGGTCACGGGCACGGCGAAGTCTTCCAGCTACACCGTTCGCACCTAATTTCCACAATATTTATAGATGAAAGCACACAAAAAACGGTATTTAAACCCTTTTTTTCTCATCCCACACATTCTACACTTGTAAATTTGTAATTTATGAGTTGCCGTCTATCAAGTACGAACGGCATACCTGCTTCTAGAGTTAAGCAAAAATTAAAAGTAGAGGAATTTTTTTATTTTTATTTTTATAAAAAAAGAGAAGAATTTTAGCCCGACAAAGCGGCAACAACGAATAGGCAGGTTGTGACGCCGACAATTCAGGAAATCAATGTACAAACTTACAAGCGGCAGCGCTGGCTGATGGATCTTTTAATGGGAGAACCAAGGTCCACCGGATTGTAGTTATGGGGGGACTACCACGCCCCCGAGCCAGATACTGTACGGAGGATTCACTTTTACGTTGTAGCTAGCAAGCGGTAATGAAATATGACAGTACGCCCACAGAAAGGCAAGCTTGTATCTTCTCCCGTTAACATTGATAGCTCCCCGCAGCATTGACCGGCTACAGAGGTTTCTTAATGATCCGGCTGCAAGAAACATTATAAATCGCTGCACAACCATCACTCACCACCTTTCGGCCATTTTAAGCAGGATGGTACGGGGGATCGGCTTCAAAATACTTTAGGAATATTCGAAGATGGCATCCCGTATCACTTATCAAGCTTGATTTTTTCCAGAATGGTTCGAAACTTTTATTATTTGGTGGGGGAAGGGAGGGGGGAAAATTGCTTAAAATTATATCCACGTGTGGAATATATGCTCTGGTATCGGACGATACGAGATACATTACGCTTAAGTATAGCTTCTCCAGAAAATGGATAGTTTTCGGAGGAGAAGGGTGAATTTGAGTTGAAAGTTTTTCAGAGGACTTACTTCTATGTCTTTTAATTGTCGTCATTATCAGTTCTTCATTATCATGCAATAGTTTTGTGAAGAAATATGTGAAAACAGAAGACAGGAAGTTCTCTGTGGTGGGAATATGCCGCGAAGAAGAAAAGGATCCAATAGGAGGGGAAAAAATATATAATTCTTCGGCAACATCTTAATAAAAAATCCAATCAAACGCCTCGATCCCAGTTTTCGGCCACGCATGACAGACATGCAAACACCTGAGTAAGGCAAATACGGGGAAGTTATAAAAAGATGAAGAATATATGTATGTCTGCGTGTAATCTCACTTCCTCTGCTGCAATACCGCATCATTATGAGTGATAATAATAGACCGGCTGCACTTCCCTTAAGGGAGCATCCCGCGCGGGAATGACTTTGTCAACTCGTATCTACTCGTTGACCTTCTAGCTTTGTTTAATCAGACCAATTGTTTCTCCCACTAGATAAGCCCCTTTTTTTCCTCCTTTTACCCTCTTAAACAACTCGTGGAAATTATAGAGTAAATTAAATTTGCATAGCTCTCATTTATTTCCTGAAGTTCTTCCTGCTAATATATTAGCTGGACTGCTCTATTTCCGTTTATCCTCGAGAAATTGATTAGGTGCACCCATGGTCTTTCGTCTTGCCAGATATAACAGCTTAATCCACCGCAGCGTAAGACGTCTCGCGCCTCCTGTTTTTTGCATCTTAAATTAAATTTGATAAAGATCATTAAGGATTTTAATGTTTGGCCATAGTATTTTCAATAAATTTTCCTCCCGCAAAGCCCCTTTTATGGATAGATATTCGGGATGCGCTCTACTTAAATTTCAATCTCCGAAGATTGTTTTAGGTAATATTAAGCTGAAAATATCGATGAAGAATATGCAAAGACTCTCATTCGCCTTGCCATTACGACAATTAAGGTGAGGTGTACAATTTAAGAAGACATCAGGACAGACAAATGAATGGCCGCTCCGGTAAGGCTTCGGATAACAAATGAAGGTGCGCGCGTGCGATTAAGACGAGAGACAGGTGACAAATCACTGACTCTGTCACTCCTTGCACTTCGCCGCTGTTGTCTACGGTTTCTAGAAGGGATAAATTCCACCTGAATAATAACATCATTTGAATTATAAAGCCGTTAGTCAAATCACAAGCGCTCTTTTTACTCCTATCGTTCATCTTAATGAATTCTGCATAGCGTAATGATCGTGATCACGGGGTTTACTTTATTTTTAGTGTTTGCTGCAATTCAATTACGATATACCTTCAACGTTTTAAAAGTTTTAGAGATGGTGCGAGACGATAGATCCAATTTCGTTTCTTCACTTCTTGTAAGCTAATGAGCTTACGTCTCTAATCTTAGCATATATTCAACTAGTTTAAAGTACTTTGAAGTTGACGAAGCGTTATAACAGGGTAAAACTTTATTGTGGTTTCAATGTTTGATTGAAATATTCTTTTTTCTCCTCAGGATTATGCAGAAACCACTATGAACGAGCTGTTAGGTTGGTACGGATACGAGAAGGTCGACAGTAGAGACACGCAAGGTCTCAATCTGCAGCACTTCTCCTCCGCTCTGTCACCTCTGACGTCGACTTCATCCACACCTGAACTCGGTAGCGGTTCGGAAGATGTGGGTCGTGACCTTCCCTGCACGAGTAGACCTCCTACGGCCGAACTCTGCACAACCGGTGGAAGAAGAAGTGGCAGTCCGCACTCGGAAGGTGAGGATAATTTTTCTCTTGGGATGGATTAATCAATTTTAAGGATAGGACTTAATCCCATCGACCAAATATTAGCAGAGGCAATATCCTATAGCCGTTCGCCTTCCTGAGAGTCCTTTTCATTCTCGTTCTTCCTGAGGATAATTTTTTTCTCTGATGGCAGATTTTTCTCCCACAGAAATCAATCATTAAATCTAATTATTCAGACCTTGTATAGATAAAACATTTTCACCTCTTCACCTCGAGAATGTTAAATTATTCTGTCAGAAAGTTCTTATTGTTTGAGGAACAATAAGGTGCTCTCTTTTGTTTCCATTGCTAGAGATGGGAAATCGTTGTGCAACACTCCTAGGTGTGGGAATTTGTGTAGTTAAGTGTAACCAAGTAGAAGTTTTTCACCAATACAAACAGCCCCCTGTTTTTTTTTTATTCGGTCGAGATGATTGTCACTGGAGGCACACTCAAGGCGACTCATTAAGAATCTTTTTAATTAAATTTTAGTGCTTTTTAAGTGAGGCCGGGCATATAATTAATCCCACAACCTCTCGCCGAATGGGCCTCCCGAAAGCCATGAGTCTCAATGCACTGTTTTTTTATAGCTTTCTGTCTGCAATAAACTGTTAAAAGCTGCATTTTCTATGTTTAGCCGAATGTATGATTGTGACTTAATTTATGTAACAATTATTGGAAGTGTTAGTTTCTCGCTCTCCTTATAGAAGGGTATTGATCTTTACCCGGTTATCAAAGTCATTCGCCCATTTAAAGATGGAAAAGAATAAATCGCACGTAGAAGAGAATGGAATAGGGAAAGATTGAAATATGGATTTGTCCCATTTTCCCAGGTGATAAAAGTAAAGTTACGATATTATACGAAGAGGACAAATTCGCCGATTTTCGGTTTAGAAAATGCAGCCGTACACACCCTAAAGCGAGCGTTACACTCGTGTGACGCATGTTTATATATCACCCTAGCTTCCAGGGAAGTGAGAGGATCGTGTTACAAAGAGTAAGGACAGCACAGACTAAAACAGGCCATTGCCAAGCCACATCGCGGACGATATACTCAGACTTGTAACTATACCTGGCTTATGTTTTCGCTTGCCAAACGTGTACGCTCGTAATCCAATCCGCGACTGAAATAGTGCAGGCCCACTTGTGCCAGGGATGTTGGCAAGGGGGTGCTGAACAGCTGTGATACCCAAATAAACTTTATCCGAGATAGTGGGACGTGCCAGTGCAACATGAAGCGCTTTTCTCCTTACGCAAGGCGAAGTACTCTAGCATCTATTAATTGGGCTACGTACGATCCAGAAACGAATTGAATTAAGGATGGTTCCGCTTCTGTCGTAACAATATTTAATTATTTACCCTCTTCATTGCTAAATTTAAATACATCCTCCCCGTGTCTACTTGGTGATTTATTTTTTATTTATCGATTTCTAAGGTGTATTTTATGTCGAAATTTAAGATAAACCGCGATCTCGCGCCCGCTTCAAGGTGCATGCATACCTTCACAGTCGTTCGATCCAGTCGAGAGATTTGCTTGTATCGAACAGGGCCTAGTTCGGCTTCATTAATAAACTTACAAGCAAGATTTTCTAACCGGGCGAGTCCTATATTTAGAGGAGGCGCGAATGAGTTAAAACCGATTATGATAATTAATTCATTAACGTCAAATTTATCAATAGCATCAATAGGAAATGGGTTTAAAGACCCTAGATAAGAATTTTAATTGTAGCAACATCGCGCCGACTAATTAGACCCTAACGTAAAAAATTGCCTGGATGCATTGTGCTATTATTATTTTTATTATTATTATTATTTAAGAATCGCTAGCTCTTTCATAATACATCAAAAATGCATCTTTTTTCCCCCTCCCCTCCTCCTCCACCTCCTCCTCCTCTCGGGCCATGCCTCGTTGTCCTTCCTGCTCTAGAAAAGGGCCTTCGGGAGTGGGTGCTCGAATCCTTAAAAGGTAATAGACAAGTGCAAGCAGCCGACGGCCCAGTTCAGAAAGATGCTTCACCCTTTGTGCTCGTGCGTCGTAGAACCGTCTGTCAGCGCTGGTCTCCGCTACTCTACAATTAATGTAATTATAAAGTAGCCAGGGAGGAGACCAGCCGCCTGCCCGCAGGTGACATGGCAGCAGGATTTATGGCGGGCGGGGAGGACCGCTTCGTGATTCTCCCATCCTCAGAGTCACCACGCCTCTCGCTCCTTCGGCCTTGCGTGCTCTACTATTGTTTTCCAAAACTTATTCAAATTTCGACTAGCTTTTCGGGTAGTTATTATCCAGGGTTGTAATTCTACCCTCGCCTTCCTTTTCGGTCATCGACTACAGGGGGACCAACAATGAATTTCCCCCACCCTGTTGGCACCTGTGCATGTTTCTGATTTTAATTATTGTTTAACCCCTTAATCTATTATTCTTATATAAAGGGGTGGAAGGCCGAAAAAAGGGCACGCTTCTTTTTTTATTATTTTATTTTGCTTTTAAATAATATCTGCCTTATAAACTGGCTTTAAACTGTCTGATTTAAATATATACAAGAAGCAAAATGCCTTTTGATTATGAAAATGTTGGAATCTAAGTACTTCGATGAGAAATGTTGGCGTTTATCTGCTCCATGCTGGTACTCAGTCGATAAATCTTAAGAATGTAAATTTTTTGTAAAGGAGTTTGACGTGAAAAGGAAAAATTACACTCACTAATGAAGTGGAAAAACAAGAAGATAATTAACTCTCGTTTTGCTTCTCCTCATCTCTCAACTCGAGCGAAATTAGTGTAGAAACGTGCAGCTGTAGTCGCAAAAAGATTCCATTCGTTGCGTTTTGCATACAGAATATCTTTAGTTATTCAACACCGGATTATCGAGAGTTACGGGCGGATTAGAAAGGCGCACTCTGTCTTCCCCTTCTGGAATCTTTACTCCACCCAAAACTGCGCTTCTCCACCCAAAAATTCATCGAATTCGCCATCGAATACGGTCTAAAAATATCCGAAATCTTCCGAAATATCGCGAAAGTTATTTATGTAGTAAAAGCTAAACGAAGATCGATTCATCGGGATTTTGAGTGACTGGAAAGAGAAATCGGAACAGATGCACCGACGAAAGAGGTTACAGATGTTAGCAATAATCTTAATGGTTGTATTTTGTCCCACTTGACATGTTTAGATGGCAGTGTCACGTGTGGCCCACTCGTCATTCTCCAAAAAACCCCGCCGACATCTATCATTAGATCTGGATCGGCTAAAGTAGCTAGCGTGATTCCCATTCAGCCTCTCGTTTTGGTGAAAGTCGAGAAGTCAGCTTCACCCCTTTTTTGTCAAGCCAAAGGCTTCTAGCAGTAAAGGAGTAAGGTCACATCCTCGCCGTTTAAAATCTTAGTGCCATGGAGCATCGAGCCGTTATCTAAAGCCATTTGGTAGTTTGCGCCCCATTTCTCGGACAAGAATTAATTATCGGAAGCGAAGAAGCACCCTGCAAAGACAATCTGTTGTTCGTCTGCAACATAACGTCTCAAGTTAATACAGTAATACGAAACGACTTATCTGCACATTTCTCGACTTGATGAAATCTTGAGGGTGTTTTTTTTTTCGTGCTCTTCTCTTTTCCAGAGCCCGGTTTGGTAGAAGTAACTCGATCCGACCCACGAAACAGAGAGGAAGCTCGGATTACTCTGCTTCTGGGAATTCTAATGGCGTCAGAATTTACGGAAAGGTCAAAAGAAATTTGTCATCCGACTGATAATTCTGACGCATCAATAGTTGTGTCTCGGCTGATAAGTTTTCGATATAAAGTTGTTTTACTGCACTTCCACTCTGGAAAGAGGAGAAGCGGGGATCCGATAACGGAATTTTTCTTATTGTCAAAAATCTGATCTGACCGAATAAAATAGACGCATTTGTCCAATTCCGAGGTTTTTCTTCCACTCCGGGGGCCGCAACAAGCTCCTTCTTCACACCAGCTCGGGTTCATCCACGGGCAGAAAACACACGAGGTGACTTGGATCTGGATTTAGAACTCGCATCCGATTGTTCGCCGGTCCATTTTCATACGAAAATTTAAATTTCTGATGCTATTTTATCCAAATTTAATTGGTAGAAGGAGAGTTTTTACGATTTCGAAGGCTTCTATTGGGTTTTAAATATCGCTTGATCAACTTTCTTCCATTAATACCACACAGATAGATTCATCAAATCTTAGATGATGATTGATGCTTCCTTCGAAATTCGATCGTCCTGTAGATATTTCAGCATAAAAAAAGAGGTTTTAAACGTCGGTCTGACATACATTTTATTATTAGAAAATTAATTAATTAATTTTTTACTCGGTCCATCTACGTTTTATGAGTCAAAATGAACGATCGGAAGCTGTTTACGTCTCGTCTACTCGGGACCTTTTTATCGAAAAGCATTCGTCATACACCAATACGAGAGGCTTGTTTTAGGGGTTATTCGATATTAGTTGACCTCTTACTTGAAGAGCGTTCCACTCCCGACTCCACATTTCTAGAATTTTTAACGATGCAAAACACAGTGAATCGGTTGTTAGAGAAGGGGAAGCAATACTTTTTTATATATATATACACGTATTAAAACGAGTTAACGATTCCTCTGTAGGAATAATCGAAGCGCAAACACTTATATGATACGAAAAAACATTCTACAGCATCATTAAGAAGAATATGGATGGAGTCTCCTAAACTTTGTTTGGATAAATGAGAAATCTTTCTTCCTTTCGACAATAAATGCGTGTAGATATGTATTTTAAAAAACTACGTCCCCCTCTTTTGCAAATTTAGACGTCAGGTCTTTGTGTAAAAGAAATCAGAGACTCGGGCCATCTCTTATCAGTTTGTTTAGAGTGATTGATATTAGAAGATAATTATCTTATCCTTTGACGGATGCAGAGCATATTTTATATCAGATACGTATATATCTACAATCGATACGTTTACTATAAGCTTCGTTTAATCTTCAACCCCCCTAACTAGCT